GGCTCGCCGGCTCGCCGCTGTTCACATAAACAAAATCCTAATACCGATCTAATAAATAAATATATAGTTATATCAATCAATGATAAGTTTGATATTTGATTAATTTAATACTTGATTCTACCTGATTCCTCTGTTGATAACCTGAAGCCATTTCGACAGTTAAGACTTCCATCTAGAGCTATGTAGAATAAACCTTGGAGTTAAGTTCTGTGTTCAGTTAGTTATGGAAATAATTTAGGAACTCGAAGTTCCTGCGCGATAAACAAAATAACAGTAGAAAATTTTCACTTACGGAGCCGCATTTTTGAAGCTAGAACTAAACTTGGACAACATTGAATGCTGCTTTAAACATAATACACAGATTCATCTTAAGATTTGCTTTCATGAGTGACCTTTCTTATTTGTAAGCATGAAAACGTAACTAACAAAATGAATGTAACATATCCATAGAGAGAGCTCTATTTGATAACAAGAATAGACTATATGATATACACAAAATTCCTACATTTCTCGACAATATCATGAATTATTTAAAAAATGTACATTTTAAAACATATTATACACAGAGAGCTATATTCCATAAGAAGGGTTGACTACCATGGACATAGATTTCCTAATTGCACTCGACAACAACATCTACATTTCTGAAGTTGAAATGTACACGAACTCCATCTAACACTTGCATCCTCTCTTCAGCAGTCCCCTAGATTTTATGTCAGTTAACTTTGAAGTTTGAACTTCAAAGTCCACCATCATTTGACTCGAGAGGTTATGGAATGCTAGTATACTTTCACCAGCCTTCCACCTGTAAGATTGAGCAATGTTGTAGTTGAAATAGAAACCCTAATTCATTATGAGATCTCTTGGGCTTTATATAGGCCCCGTACACAACTTACAAATAAGTCCTAACTAATACTAATATGTCAACACTCCTCCTCAAGATGGACGAAAGATATCTACTAAGCCCATCTTGTCACATCCTCTAATCATATCTACTGAGCTAAGTCCTTTAGTCAGACAATCTGCTGCCTGGTCCTTAGTCGAAACATGACTTAGCTCCAGTAGTCCACTATCCAACTTCTCTTTGATGAAGAACCTATCGATCTCGATGTGTTTGGTTCTATCATGCTGCACTGGGTTGTTGGCAATACTGATAGCTGACTTGTTGTCACACCATAACTTTATCTTAGCTCCTTGATCCAGCTTCAGCTCCACCAGCATACTCTTCAACCATAGCAACTCAGCAACTCCTAAGGCCATAGCTCTATACTCTGCCTCAGCTGTCGATCTCGCCACCACCGACTGCTTCTTGCTCTTCCACGAG